AGAAAAGCTTAGAAAAATGTATACGACTGGCAGTTTTAAATACAGAGGGTCCAGAGATGGAGAAACTACTTTCGGGTAATTTATCTGCATTTCCTGTCCTGTGGCCTGCAGGGAAATTAAATATGGTAAGATGGAATGGTCTCCAGCACTTCAGAAATCTGTATACTCCCCTAAGTGCAAATTAAATAATCACTCCAGCAAGAAGAGGAGGAGAAAAGAGGGTGAAATTCAAACTTTGCAAATTCCAAAGAGCTGTCCCAGTTTGAAACACACATGAAGCCAGCTTTGAATGAACGATGGAGGAATTTATGGGGAACCTTCTGGGCTTCTCAGTCATTCAGAGTTCTTCCCAAATGTTTCTACTTAGAGGCTCTGCCCGATGCCTGCATGTCAGATGGCTGTTTCTTAGAGAGCAAATCTTTAAGATCATGTCACTACTTCTTGCATATTTGGGCTTTACCTTTGTGAAATGCCAAATCCAATTTTCCTCACCTGCAATGGTGCAGTTGTTTTTTTTCTTTTTTTTTCAGCCTCACAAGATCAGAATGTTCTCTGAAAATCCTGTTATTTTTCCTTGTCTTTGAAAGATGGAAACAGGAAGAATGTTTTGTAAATATGGATCAGGAAGGTATTTTAAATAAGTTCAAATTATTTTTTATAATAGAGAGTGCTTTAAATAATACCATGCAAACTGTCTTAAAGGATGGACACATTGTCTGCTTTCTCATTACTCACAGTAGTGATTTTCTGCACAATTAACTGTTACTGAAGTATCTTTTTCTTCCCTGTAGACTAATTCTGTTCATATTTCCTCTTTTCCCTGAGACTGCAGCTAACTGACACCAACTAATAGCTGACCCTGTGGAAATAATAGGGAATTTTCCTGCAGGATTCAGATGCCAACTAACAGAAGCTTCTGCAAGGGTATTCCTCTATTTGCAAAGGGGCTTGTAGCACACTGTTTAAACAGAGTAAGATTGGTTTCATTTGCACTGGAGAATTGTATTTTAATGTACAAATAGCCTGAACATTCTGCAGATTTCAGAAAAAACTTGAATGTTACTTGCTCTCCTAGTAACATTGAGAAACGAGCTCTTCAGCAGCAAATAGAAAACCAGTTCAAATGCAAAGGAAACAGAATTTAATGAGAACACATTTTTTTTAATAATATACATATGTACATTTTTAAACTGCAACTGCGTGACAGATTAGCTTCTATGCTTGTATATTAAAATATGTCACATTAAATGAGTTAAAAGGATTACTTTATTTTAAATCTCAAGGCATTTTGCAATGTGACACACTGCATTTATTACTTTTCATGCCAGTATGGAGATCTTCTCTTGTGAAAGTCAACCCAAATAAAAAAACTCCCACATGATATTTTTTGTTTTTTTTTTTAATAAAGCAAGTGTAGGTGACATCTTGGGCCTTATTCCTTCTTGTACCTCTACCGATCATTTTTAAAAAAAGGTGTAGTTTTTATAGTGCATATTTTAAGCTACCCCTTTGTCTTTTGTATTCACCAATAAGGAAGAAAAAAAAGAATTAAAAATATCCAATTTTTTCAAGGAATTATTATTTAAGAAAGAAAAAAAAAGAAATGGGTAATTTGGAGCACCCCAAGGAAAGGGATTGTCAGTCTGAAGAGAAATTGCTATTTCAAGAAAAGGTGGTTTAAGTCTTTGCTGCTCTTGGAGTTGTTGTCATTTCCTTTGAATATATTACAAAGAAAAAGAAGTAACTTTGGTATTTTCAGATACTTTGATTTTCTTTTCCTGTATCTTCATATACATCTAGGAAAGAGCATATAAATAGATATATATAACAATTGTCCACAGTGCTATTTTTCTTCTTTAAAAAAAAACAACAAACAGTTGCAAACATGCAAACAAACTAGCAGTTCTAAACACAAAAGAGTTCTTTAGCCTGAATAAGATCTCTGGGTACACATTTGCAACATGTTGTTTTTTGACTCAATTTTTAGTATGCGTAATATGTCTAGCATTTAAAAGACAACACAGGTTYGAGCCATAAATAATATGCAATGGCTAATATGGCATCTTCATTGCTGCTCTTTCTGTACAGATATTTCAAGCTGCTCATATTGTACAATAATGCCCCTGCTAAAGGGTGGTGATAACCATGGACTGAGCCAGTGCAGTCCACAGTACAACCCTGTGCTGAAGTGCCTGGCAAGGCTTTGCATCCTGACTGTTCTTAASAGCTGGCAGAGCAGAAATTTGTGAAATGGTTAGTGCTTCATATGAGAGAAACAGTGTGGATCAGAGGAGAGGAAGATGATATAAAATGATCTTCATTTGGAGTGAAAATGAAACTKAAGTTACAAACAGTTTTTTGCAGTTATGAGGTGTCAGTGCTTATCTGTAAAAGCTGTCTAAACCTCTAGCTCATTAGCTTCAGCAGACATTTTTTGATTTCTTCCATATGTGGAAGAACCTGTTGTTAAGTTTGTCACAGGATTTATATTTAATTTTAAAAAAATTCGGAGGGTCAAAAAAAGAATCAAACCAAAATGGCTTAAAAGAATCTGTTTAATGAAATACTTGGGTATGTGATAATGCCATAACTCCCTGTGACTGTGGAGCCCAGAGATGGAGCAGAACAGTTTCCTCAAAATCTGATTTTGTGTTTTCCATTTTATTCTTAGGAGGAGCGGAGGAGGTGAATCTGCAAAAGACTGTTGTGAAAAATGACTAATGGAACAACATGAATGTAAAAATGCAAAGCCAGCTATTCATCTCACCTCATGTCTTGACTGCAATTAAGTTATGTCTGTCAGTCCAAACCTGAGAGAGTTAAAGAATTTAATTATTTTCCAGCAGTATTTCTACCTTTTAAGGTAGAAACTGCCTTTTAAGTGCTGGGGCACATATAAAATTCTGTAATTATTTAGAGTGTCAAAGGCGGAAGTACATGTGTGGATGAAAGGCTGATAAAAGCATGATGAAAAGTGGAATCAGTTATTCTCAGGTGTTAGGCATTGGCTAGTCTGCAAATTTGCTGGTACTGTCACTGGAATTTCTAAGAGCAAGASAGAGAATACCAGCTAATTCTGGTGRAGGTATATTCAAAGAGAGGATTTGAAAGATTCTCCAACTRTAAATCTGAGAATTAAACATTGCTTTTGACTGATTTTTCTTTGCATATTTATTTCAATAAATGTATGAAATTACAGCAATTCCAGTCAGAAGGACTGGGAATAAAAGTAAAGTGACCACTTAATTAACAAGCGGCTCCCATTATATCTGTTCTTTTGCTTTGTGCAAAGAGAGATTCCTGCCATAAGTAAGTGCAGGCAGGTTTTGTATCATTTTGCCCGTGAATGTTGCTGATTATTGTGCAGATGACTGCATACTAAATCTGTTACTTTGCACTACAGGAGTTTGCAGTTACTTTCCCAGCTTCATTCTTTGTTCTGTGGTGTTTAGTTACTCCTTTATAGTGAAAGCTGAAGCATCCTGCTGTAGGCACCAATATTGACTTAGTCATCCTTATTTATTTATCACTCAGAGTACTCCTTCTAAGCAGGTCAGGAATTGAAAAATTCATGAATGTGGTCCTTCTAATCTAAGTAGTTTACCCAGTATCATGCTTAGCAGGTTTTGTGCTATTAGTGAAATTTGGYTCCTGCRTTTCCTTTTCRAAGTWTGATCTAGGAAAAGAGCAGCAAAAATCATTTGTGCAAATAAGTCCGTTACAACTACAGAATATGTTTGGAAAGTTTAAGATGAAATCTGAACTGCCACAAAGTTCAAGTTACCTTTYTGCTGCATTTATTCCTTTTTTCAGAGGGTTCATGTATCAGTGAGAAAGTTGAGAAGGAAGACATAGAAGAGGAAGAATAAGAAAATATGTACTTAATGAATGGTATTTTTTACATATGGCTTTGAAAATTTTCTTAGGGTTCAAAGTAGAAAATTCCAAGCAGAACAAAAATATGATTAGTAATTCAGCGTTACTCTCTCACTGACCAGCTTGTTTTTACAACCATGGCTGTGTGTTTACATACATAACTTAGACACACAGTTGAAGATACAACCTGCAYAAAATTTTCTGTAATGTAAGTACTGCATGCCAATGCTGTGACATAAACATTGTGATTACTCAGCCAACTGATTAACATATTGATATGAGTGTGTATTTTTATTTTCAACTATAAAATAAACAGAACACATTGAAGAATCATGGAAAATGTTATATAATAGGCTTGTTCCCAAATGMAGTAATGTGTGCTGTTCTTAATTTGTAATTAAGACTTTCAATATTCACGACAGATTTATGGCAGCTGTACCACAATTACAGAAGCTTTACAGTGCATTCACCCTTCTTATGCCAAGAAGTGATACACAGTAGTTGGTTTGAACAAAACCAGGTCTACCAGACATAAGCACAATGTGCTGTGGCCTTCCTGGTATTTAACTCAGCAAAAGTGTTTCTGGGCAGTTCCCAGCAGGGTACCACAGAACAAGAATTCTTTTGCTCTACAGACACTGCGTACTCAAGTTAATATTTCAGTGACTGTTTTAACAATCACTGAAATATTATTCAGCTGACCAGTCTGAACATTGCAGAAAGCAACTCAGCTTGGCACATGGTTGACAGCTCTGGAAGCCATGCTGTCAATTAAGCTGCTTTGATTGAATATCTAACCTGCTCAGGAGGAAATGCTGATGTTTCAATGCTRTGAAATTAAAGACACCCCCTTACAATTAGTGAGAATTTTCATTTGAAGCTCTGTTTGAAGATTTTACCTTTTGTTTTTCACACTTTAATAAAGCTGGCATAATGAATCAACAGACTGGAGTCTTGAGGAAAAGTCGGGGGTTGGATAGATAATGGTATAGGAATTGAGGTAGCTTATACCTGTTTTCCTTCCATAACCCTCTCAGTGGAATAAAAACCACAAAAATGTAAATTGTTCTGAATGCAAAAGTATTTGTCTCTGAGCTACCATGTGAATGAACACAGTCTGTAACTTACTGTTGGTGGTCTTGTTGTGGCTGGTCTGGAATGTGCTGAATAACTTCATAAACCGTACTTAACATTTCCTGGCCTGTGACAGAGCCAGGAACGGATTGACTTGAAACCTAAAAGCAGCAGAGCATATTCCTACTGTAAGTACAAACAGGAAAACATTCAACAGAAATTAAATGTAACTTGTTATTATACTGATAATGTAATTGTCTTTTTTAAACTTTTCATCAGAGTTTTGCTTGTCGGTTGAACGAGTAATCTCTGGTAATTTACATTTCATTTTGGGTAAGTATTCATCAGATTAATGGAAAGGCAACTAATAATTTTAAATTCAGTTAGCACCTTAGAAGATTTAGGATGCAGCTTCTGCATTTARTACAGGAAATACTTTATATTAATGTACCACAAGTCAAGACCATTTACTAAAGAGAAAAGTAGGAGAACAGACAGTAAAAACGCAGTAAATATTCAGGGCATGGGTTCAGCATAAAACTCCCACTGGCCTGTCAAAGAGAAAGAGATGCAAGGAATTTCCATAAATCAAGTAATACTGATKGTTCCATATGTTAAGTATATTAATTTCCTCTTATGTCAAGACAACAGATTTACCTAGACTTTGCATCTGTAAGGAATTACCAGCCTTTCTGTCTATACCAAATCTCCAGTTCTTTATCATCTCCACTTTCTTATTTTCCMCTTTCTCTGCCAGCCAAAATGTATCAATGGATGAAATACTGACTTTATGTGCAATGCAATAAATTTAAGTAGTTGAACAAAACCTAGTGGAATTTCTCATGTTCCTTGAAATTTTAATGGAAATTATAAGAGATTTCATTGCTTGTACACTCATTCTGTCATTCTTGTCACTGTTCTCTCCCCCGTGACCTATTAAGGCCCCAATCCTTCAAGAATGTGATATTGTCCCTAAATTTTGTGGCCCTGATTCTGATTTTTTTTTGTCCTTTTACACCACATCAGAATGATCTCCAGCTACTGTATAGTAATGGCAGCAAAGACACAGTKCAAAAAAGCAGCAAATGCAGCAGGAATTTTTTTTGCTAGCAGAATTCTTTCTCTTAAGTCCTCCCCAACAATACATGAAGCTAACAAAATAATTTTTGGGAAAAATAGGTGAGACTTAGCTTACATTCAGAGTTTAAATACCCCTATGAGACTTTTCTGCACTGCCAGAGTTGAATGTTGCATGAGCAGARATATAAGGGTCAAGGGAGAAAATGGCATCACTATAGTTCACTTGCCTGTGTGACACTAGTGGTTCAGTGCTAYCCAACTACCCAACTGCTAATATTCTTTTAATATAGGGTGACTGAATGGAGAGTGCTGTCTTTAGAGCGAGGTTATTCCTTACTGCACTATGTCCATACAAAATACTGAACCAGTAACACAAAGAAAGAGCAAATACTGGGTAAGCAATAGCCATGAATATGGTGTCATACAGACATCTGTAAAAACAACAGAGGCAGAACTACAGAAGGATTATAGTACAGCTRTTTAGTATATCTAGAGAAATAGAAGAGAAACTGTCTGTTTATGATGTAAAATCACATACCCTAGAACCACTGGTAAGATCTGGAAAAGCGATGAACTCATATATCCCAAAATCATCTGAAGCACTTTCATGTCCTAAAGTTAGAAAAAAGATTAAAAAAAAAAAAAAAGTAGTATGAACCTGGAAAATAATGACTGCCAAGGTATTTTACCCTAATTTTTAAAACATCCAAGTACTGGTTATGTGATTGCTTTAAACCACTTCCCTGCAAAACTCCTAAACTGTTAAGAGGCAAGGCAGGACAGCTGCAGTGCTTGGTCATTTCCAACACGTTGGACCAAGTGAGGAGGCTTTTGCTAATCTCAGAAACAGTTTTGGTAGGGACATTAATACTCTGGATTAATTCTGGAAGGCTAAAACGAGCAATTCACTTCCATTTCCCTTAGAAAAGAGGCCAAATTAATAAACTCAGCACTTCTGCAGTGTAGAAAGGCAGTACCACCTGAACGTTTTACAATACTGAGAATAATAAAAGGGAATATGGTATTAATAGGTGCCACATTATTATTTGGGACTTCAGAAACAGGTTGTATTTAGGTCTCTTTCTCTACCGACYCCCTGTCCAGGAGATCTGAGGCTCTTGTTTGCCTCTTGGGCATCACTCCATAGCAAAGGTCACAGCACTAGCAACAATGTTGAGATTCTATCCTTTGATATGACTTGCCAGGGTGATGGGCCCTCTCTGCTCAAGAGAATTTCTTACCTTCCTAAGTTTCGTGTACTTCCCTATCCTTGTGCATGGGGCAGTTTATAGTTTGSTCTGATGCTTTGGTAGGAAGGAATGGGAGTAAAAGTTCAAAGGATAGTTGGTCTCTAGTATTTCCTGCCTAGGATCATGTGGGAAGGATTGTGGAGGGAAAAGAGGCAGTGAAAAAAGCTACTCTGGGACCTGATGACACAGAGAAAAATAGTACAGGAGATGGCAGAAGGTTGAATATGTATCATGCAATGTCATTATCTCATGATTTTGATAACCGCTGATGCCATGATACATTCTCAATTGTAATCCTCCTGTGGTGTATCACCTCTTACTCCTATCCTGGAATAATGCTGATTTAAGTCATATTGGTGACAACAGTGGAAAGCAGGTATTCCAGAATAGAGGGATTAACAGATAGAGTTCAAGACAACAGTACACACTGGTATGAGCCCCAGGCATGAGCTAAACCCATGCTGACTTCTCATTTAGGTCTTAATTAAGCTATCATAGAGGTATGCAACCCAACATAAAACCACACTTCCTTCCTTTCTTTTTTTTTTTTTTTTTTTTTTTTTTTGGGTTTCTATTTTTTTTTTTCAGGAATGGATTTTGACCTTATGCTCACACTTATTTTATTAGCATTACCTGAAAATGCCTGTGCCTTTCTGTAATCAGCCTCTGCCCTAGAAAACATAAACATGTTTCTCAGTTTGACGTCATAAGCCAAGGAAAGGAAATTAATATGATAAAATCCAATTCTCTGGATGGAAAGAACTTTTAGACCTAGGAATGAATTAGTTTTGTACCTGCTCTGTAGCTTCTGTTGTATCACTGAAAAGAAGAAAAAAAGAAAAATTATTCTTTTCGCTCCAATGGTATAAAAGAAGAGCTGGCCTGTGCTTAACTTTTACATACCTTTATGTGGCTTATATCTTTTCCATAGGAATAAAAAGGCCATAGTTAGGATCAAAAATAATGAAATTCCTGTTATTACTGCAAGAGAAGACAAAGATTTTCCTTTCTGGGCTAGCTTTTCCAACCCTGTGACAGAGAAGATGAGAATTGTATTTAATTTCTTGTTCTTTACAATGTGCTACAATGACACTGAAAAATGTGAAGCTAGTACATCTGCATGGAGATACCAAACAGATACAAAATTTGGGGTCTTGTGAATGGGCAATATTTATTTTTCCCCACAAATCTCCTGAACTGAAACAGCAATGATATGCATATCAGAAAAGACTTCAGAGCAGATTAGTGCCTAGTGCTCARTGAAAGTCGGTACATGTAACTCACAAATTATAGCATCCCAAAAAGTAGATGCATATTATAACTTGAGGCATAGAGACACTGATCTACCAAAATTAGGGTGCCAGGAGAGCAGCTTGTGGTAGATTGGAGGGAAATCCTCCTAGCAGTAGGAGCTATAAAGTAGGAGAGGACAATAGATCCATTAGACTTTTTCCAAATATTTTCAGATTACTGACAATCTGGTTCTTTATCAGAAACCAAGAAATTATCTTGGCTAAAACTGRGTAACAACTTAGTACAATTATTGATATAATTTTAAATTATTAAAATAATTGTTTTCTTGGTAATTTTTAAGATTAATTAGGCATCTGTCTACAGCACCATATAGGTGAGTTTCTGTCCCATGGAGAAGTTGTGTAAGGTCTTCTGAAACATCACAATTCCTATTGCTACTGAAAATGGTGTTTACAGTTCTTAGAACACCATAGTCCAGGCTCTGTATTTAGGATGTGGGGATAAGGAAAAGGAACATGGACAATTTTCATAGTCTTTTCTTAGTATGTTAATTCACTTGCAAACAGAATTTAGCCTGAGCAGCATTGCTGTGAATGAATTGTGTGTGAATTTAGACCTCTTAGAATCAATCAGTGCTGCTCTGTAAACTGTTGGCTTGACATCTGGGTTTAGTGCTATTTGAATAAACAYTCATCAAAGAGAAGATGGCTACAGAGGGGGGAAATAATCTTTTCACATTTTTAAAAACACAGGATAAAATGTTTTAATAAGATTTAAGTAAAATGTTTGTAATTAGCAAATCTATTATTTTAAGTCTGACTAAACATGAAGCTGTGGAGTCTCCCCTCCTTTTTGGCCTTTGAAATGAAATCTCAACTGAATATAACAGCTTACRTGAACTYCCTGGAGAAATGTCATGTTTATTTCTATTGACACATAGTTCTGGTTGCATTTTCTTTCACTACTAACCACTACTAATATTTAGTCTTTTAGTGAAGTATTCTAACTATGAAATTGCAGCCTATTTTCCCTCCAGCATACTAAAAACCATGGATTCATGATGAATCAGTAAGTCAGCCTGAATGATGGAAATCTCTTCTTGTTTACCTGACTAACAAATAGTTGAGCCCTTTGCTCAGTACAAGTGAAATTGCTTTTTTAAATTTTCTAATAGGCAATCAAATCTATTTTCTTGAACATTAACAGCATACATTCCTTATCTGGAAATATTTGTATCTGTCTGTACTGAAAAGAGACATCAGACTTTGCTATTCTTTGCTTTATGCTTCTGCAGATTTTTTTTGTTGTTATTGAACACAATCTGATACAGGAGCCGAAGTTATAGTGCATGAGAATTGTGCACGTTTTCTTCAGAACCCAGCAATCAATCCAGAGATTCATAAATATGACATGAACATTGTAATAAAATCCCACAAAAYGTCAGTGTCTCAGTGGGTTGTGCTCCAAGCCRTGTCAYACTGCAGGTAAAACCTGCATCCCAYGTAATGTCCAAAAACTCCTTTACTATATTGTTAGCCAGACTTCAATTTTGATACATGCTCGAAGAATGAACTCCTTTTTCCGGGGCTGACCCGCCCCTCAGAAGTTACACTTACAGCAATGAAGTTACATTCTTACCTACAGAAGTAACAACGACTGTGAAGTGAGTTTCATCTCGCTTTCCAGTCACGTTGTTGAAAGCACAGCACATGTAATCTATTGTCTTCTGGGCCACTTTATCAGATACAACTTCCAGATRGGGTCCATATTTGATCACTTGAGTGGAATTGTCATCCCTTTGAATCCATGAATAAGTATTTGGTGGATTTGAATCTGCCGAGCAGTCAAACAGTACAACTTCCCCCATGTCAACAGTAAACACTGCCCCTATATTCAGACCTTTATCTGATTTCACTCTAAGTCCGTAAGGTCCATCTGCATTGGGAAAAAARGGGAAATACAGTGTGAAAATGAAAATCAAAGTATATAATTAAACTTTAATCATTAGYGTATCTCTAAAGTTAGAATACTTAMGTTGGGCTAGCCTTCAGAATGGCTGGCATTCAGTCATTTCAATTAAAAGGCTTTCAGTTCAATAACTGGGCTAGGCTTAGCTCAGACTACATCCACTTAATACTGGGCTGACTGTTATTTAGGGAAAAAAACACAGGTCTCTGTTTTTCAGTAGGATAAAAAGAATTAAAACTGGAATCAGTTGGATTTCTATGAAGTAAAGGAGCATGTCTTCTTCAGGGGCATAATTGATTCCTAYTTCAATGACAAACTTACTGGCATAAGTAATTTCCCTGCACATTTAAAAGTGAAAAAATTAGCACTGGAATATTACATTAATGTTRTAATTTACAGTATAATAATTATTTAGGGAACTGACATACAAGTATGATATTGAGTGGGGTATGCCTGAGATAAGTTCTGAAAAAAAATTTCCATAAATGACTGCTAGAATAAACTTTAACTTTCCCCCCACTTGAATRGGCTTGTACTATTTCAACAATTATGCTCTTTTCAAGAGTAAGCCCTTGTGCTGAAAGGTTTTTTTTTAATATAATTAGAAGAAGCATATGTTGTTCTMTAGTCATGTGTTTATTACCCAAAAAATTGAGCAGGTGATAGTGTCACCTGCATAGGAAAATGAAAAGAGAAACAATAAACTTAAATATTATAGGAGTATTTCTCATGCCATTTTTGCTAGAACATTTCASATCAATGGGGCTTTTATATTTTTACAGCTTGAAATTATTTTTAGAGTTATCTAAGTATAGAAATAAATGTAGAGAATATGATAATCAAAGTGAGCCTTATTAAATCACTTTTTCCAGTTAAAAAAACCCCACAAACTCCAATCATTTTAATGTTGCTAATTTTGATAACTTACGTGAATAACCAAAAATGTACAGACCTAAAACTGACAGAGCCAAAGAAGAAAATATGGAGRATATTTTTTTGGTAGGATCCCTGAAGATCAGAAAAACTGCCTCMCACAGAATGGTATAGCACAAAACAGGCAGATACTCTGTCCATTGCAGACAGCACAATTGAGTAATATTTCCACCTTGCTGTGGCTGTCTGGAAGAATTAAGATAATGTAGCTGGGTTTGAMTAGGAAAGTCCCTGCTACATGAAGCTGCACACTAGTACATTTCAGACTCTGTTTCCCACCAGGAAATTCAGTATGRTGTTATAACTTCCTCTATTTACCATCTGTCTTTTTTTTATGAGACTCATTTATTCTTCAGGAACACCTAAGTCACGAGTGCCACAGAACAAAACAGGCCATTTTGGGCATCTGTTCTTTATGTATTTGTTAAGGCTTAGATGAGAGACTATAGACCACCACACATGACCTCATTTTAAGAATATGTTCATATATCACAACATAAACTTGTCAACTTTTTTATTTTCTCTACTTTTTTCCTAGTGGTAAACTCTTTGTAGTCTAATTTTAAGGAATGGCCAGCATCATGCATAATATTTACTCAAGAAATTCAATACAAATTCACTTCAGCATGACTTGGAGCTGCTCCCTACATTGCAGAGGCCACGCTGAAGAATCGAGGCATTTCTTTAAGTTCTAGATCCTGGGCTGCTTCCTCACAGGCTCTGCAGTTCCTGAGTCACTTGTTTTATTGTCTTCAAGAGCCAGCTGACTCTGTAATGACCATTTCTGTGARGTACAGACCCATACCCCACTGTTTTGGCTTGGCTGACCTCACTTGGGCTGCATGTTTTTGTGGAAGGGAAGCCTTTCACAGGGGCTYGCCTCTTATAGATATTTACTTCCCTTTTTTCAGAGCTGAAAGGGGAAGGGATGTACTGGTCTTTGACATTTTTCATAAATGAAATAAAGCTCCTCACACACTATTTGTAGGCAGGAACATACTTTTTTTTTACTTTTCAGAGCAATTCAGTGGTTCTTTCAATCCAATTTTCCTTTCTTAGGAGAATTAGCTTTTATCTTTACTGATAATATAACTTTGACATGTGTTAACAGAGATTAATGGTAAGAGTAGCTGACTGATTTCCATGCCCCCTCACTGTAGTGGGTGGTTTGCCACAGTCTGCAAAAGAATCAGAACTGAGTTCAGCTTTTTTACCAGTATCATAACAGTGCAGCATTAAGAGACAACACTGACAACAGAACTACAGAACTACAAATTGGAAGAAATCATTATACAAACACATAAACTGGCTGGGGAAGTAAGTTTGAAAAAAAAAACAAACCAGAGAGGTCATCTTAAAAAATAGTCAAATCTTGGTAAAATCTGAAAAGYGGCATTCCTTCCTGAAGTCAACACAAGGATTGGGTAACCCTTCTGCTTTGCCTGGATCAGTCTTTTGCCTCCCCTGGGCATCGTGTACATCAAGGTCCCTAAACACTGGGTGACTGACCAGTACACGCAGCTTCAAACATAATTCTGAGAAGCAGACAATTAACCATTTCCTCTCTAGTACTAAATATATTCTACCTTTTGGAAAACCTAAGGAAGAAAATCCCACTGTTAGTCTGTTAAATTCAATTCCATCAACACAATATAACAGTGTCTGCTGTAGSCTGCAGGACAGCAGCTTCTTCCCATCTTGAAATAATTTATTTCTGAGTCATACAACTGCAATAGCCATGTTCTGAGCTGCATTGTTATCACAGATAATGGTGAAGCTGAATAATATTAGTAAGACATGAATTAAAAACCACTTTTCAYATTCAGTAAGACTCCATAATGAAAACCTTCATGGATCCCTCAGTACTGTTTTTTCCTTCCCAGTATTGTACTCTACAGAAACTGACACTTGTCTCAGTAAAACCAGTTAACTAAATGACTTGTAAAATAATAAATCAATCTCTCTGACTAACAATTTACTGCTCTGTGGGAATATTTCCAATTGCTCCTATCACTACGAGACTGTTTCAGTTTCCAAGCAGATGGCAGGTATTTACCGTGAGTGACCTTTTCTTTATCACCTCCAGTAACTCCCCCACAGCAATGACATATGGCAGAGAGAGATCCTGGGACCTGTTCTGGATTGTTATTGACAGCTGGGAGCTGGGAGACACACCACTTCTGCAGGCGGAGGTTGAACCAAATTGGGTGACTTCATATAGCTCAGGAGGTAAGACCCCGATTCCCATCACTGACTTGGATGCAGAGTTCCACACAGTATTTGCAGTCTTTCAGTATTGCATTGTTTGCTCTTAATACTTTCCCCCCCGGATTTTACGTTATGCACAAAGCAAACCCTCAGTTCTGATGAAGTACAAGGGACATTCTGTAAATGCATGTACAGTAATATTTACATACAGGGAGAAAAAGTGAATCTAAAAGTTTTTGATAGAGCTGTATATCACAACCACTTAAACGGCAAATGATTCAAGAAATGTGGACACTTAAATAACTTTGAGATTTTAAAATTCTGGTAAACAATAGGTCAAAACCAGGTTTCCAGTTTAGAACTTGGAAAAATTTTTCAAATTTGCTGAAAAATGCATATAATTTAGTGAGGAAGAAGGGAGGAAGCAGTACCAGAGCTGGGACTGAAGRGCACACACCTTGTCAATGTAAGTGTCCCAGACACCTGTCAGTGTGATCAGTGCTTTGGACACAATCCTGTGTGCAAYAGGTCAGAAATTCAAATCTCACATGGGCTGTGCAACAAAGAGCTGTCTGAAAGGTAGCAAGAGTGGCAGATGTTTTTCTAGCCTGACCCAATTTTATTGCAGGCTCTCTGGCTGGATACAGTGTCCCCAAGTTCAATGCAGGTATTCTTTGCAGAGAGACCTGTATAAGGCCCATTCACAGCTCATTAAAGTGAGAAACGCAGTAGAGGAACTGCATTCATAAACCTTTAGCTCTCATTCTTAGCACTTTAAGCACATAAGTAAGCTGAGACTGTGACTCTACAAAAGCAGGCATACAAAAATGTGCTACCTTGAGGAAAGAATGTGTTTTTAAAAAAATTACAGTAATGATAATAATGATAAATTTAAGCTCCATCAGTACTGCTTATTTCCTTGTAGAACACTTTATCATGATTCCTCTGTCCAATGAGATGGGAGCTCAATTAATATTTGCCCTGTTCAGGACTCTTTGCAACTGCTTCTTTGTCTTCAAGTCTGCGCTGCTGTCAATTTTATAAGCTGCACATAAGCTTGTTTCTGCTCATATCTAACAATGTTCTTGTTAATCTTTGCTAATTTAGGTAGTCTTTTTCTCTTCTCCTGGTGCAGTGTAGAGAACCGCACCCCCCCGCCCCGCCCCCATACTTTAGATGCAAGTCACCGCCTTATCCAATTCCTCCAAGTTACCATAGAAAATGTAGGAGGATAATCAGAGATGAAAGGAAATTAAAGGAGGAAGAAAATAGGAGGAGAACTAGAGGTGTAGGAGATGTAGGTTCTGAGTATGTTGGTGGTGCAATCATAACAAGTTGAGCATGGGCTGCCTACCAGCTGCCAGATGACAGAGCCTGGAGAAAACAAGAGTGAGCACCAGCCCTTGGCTGGACAGGAACCCCGTTCCAGTCCTTGCACTGTGCCTTCCACACTGGGCTACTGGATAAACTGGTTATATATGACTAGGTCCATATGGTGACAAAGTAGGTCCTGGCCTGTCTGATTACAGCTGTCCTCTAAGATGGATAGRTCAACCCCTGAAGATGTAAGGATTAGAGCATAGCAGGGTGACATATGTGTAGCATGTACTACTTGAAAATTGAGGAGGTACTGGGAATGCCTGACATGGACCAAAATGAGAACACCTGAAGATTCCAATTGCAGTTGTTGAATGCGGTTAAATCAATCTTTTGTCTCCTCCAACTCAGTGTCTCAGATGCCTTCATTTCCATAAGGCTRCCTTATGGTTTATTCTTCTTTATGTAACTCTTCTTGCTCTTGCTCCCTGCTGTTCCCCATTTGATGTGAAAGGCAATCACTTCTTTCAGCTCTAATTTTGCTAAGCCTGACCAAGATCTCTGTGTTTCTTCTCCATTCCTTCTTTTGTTCTTTCCAGTTCAAGATCAGTGTTCTGGGATCTGATGGGACTGCACACAGTATTATGCATGTGGTTTTATCTTCATGTGCCATTAGCACTGCCCTTATTTCCTTGTTGGAAATCCATTGCCCACTACCCTAGAGTTAAATACATCTTTCTCATGCTTAAATCCTGCTGTCAGTTCATAGATACTGTGTGATAGCTCAATCACCTAGGTTAACTGCTTTGATTATTTTCCAATCCATCTCCATCTTATCAGCAGAAGTTAATGTTTTTTATTCTTTAAAAGTGCATCCTCATTAATTTTTTTTACTAGGAATTTCATACCAGTTCTATTACTCTGTTAAAGTCATTCAGCACTCCCATTTAATGTCATAGATGAACTTCATTGAGATACTCCCTTTTTTCTGATGTCATAATTATAAGTGTTAAACAGGACTGGACTTGAAATGATCATGAGGAAACCCACTAATATCTTCAGCCAGGTATTTCCTGTGGTTAGCTTTTTGATGCCGTTTGGTGTCTCCATTTTTAACAATATTTTCATGTATAACCATCTGTTTTTTTTTTAACTTTGAATCACTTCTCCTCCAGATCTGAAGATATCTGTGGAAATCTTGAATTCTGCAGTTGAGACTGATCTTCACAACTACATAAAACTGAATAATTTTATTATCCTGTTTCAAGTGAAAGCTTTTCAAAAAAAGCTCATTTTGAATGCAAGCTCACCCATAATATTGACTCAACTTTTTTCTGCCTGTTTTCATAGTTAGAGGCACTCTTTCCAGCCAGATCATTAATACAAAGGTAGTAATGAATATTTCATATACTCACAGTATATGGTTGGTGCAATTATCTCACTTTCCATCRCACTGACGGGGTTAGACACCAGACAGCTGTAATTCCCAATGTCTTCTTTTACAACAGGAACAATAAGAAGTGTAGCATTGTTTGATGAAAAAATATAATTAGGGCCAGCATGGAGACACTTCCCATTTTTCATCCACTGGTAAGCTAYCCTTGTACCTTTTTCCACAGTACATTTTAGGGTAATATTCCCTACATWTTCCACTACCCCTGAAGATGGTTCAGTATGTACAGTTGGCTTTGTGACTGGAACTGTAGAATAAAGAGATATGAAGAGTAGTTAAAGTGACAAGCCATTAAATTACAGTCTTCATTGTTAAGRTGATTCAAATAGSAATTATTATTCTCTCTGGAAATCAYTCRTATTTCAAATTTTATCTCTTAAACRTAGTCAAAGCTTWAAAAAAGAAGGCCATATTCTCAKCTGGTAAAAATGCTATAAAGGCCATGTTCTCAGACTGTAAAAATTGCTAAGGTAGTTAAATACAACCAGACYGATTATATTTTTGGTAATAGGATAAAGGCTGCAGTTAGGTGTACCATGGCCTTTTGCCTCATATACAAATCACTGAGGTCACAGAAATGAAGAGAGCAGAAAGCATGACATTGCCCACTGTGTATGACTTCTTAGCATGACTGCSCACAGCTTTGCCCACACTAGGCACCACTGAAATATGAGCAATCCAGTCATGAGGATATCTGCAAACTGGGATGGGTTTGGGAGTTAAATGGCAGCTTTGTCACCTCAAGATGTCATTCATCTCATTCCTTCCAAGACCAACAGTTACAGAGTTCCCTCTGTATAAACCATAAACTACAGAAGCCTCTCGTCATCCTTTTGGATCATGCTTTCCCATTTCTATTTACTTTTTTTTTTTTTTAGTCCCYAGTACAAAGAGCAGAGTCTAAACAGGGAACTTCAGTACTTTAGGAATTCAGATCTGGGCTTCTTTTACAGTCACAAGGCTACAGTCACCAGCAAAAGTCAATGACTCTTCTTTGTTACAGGAGGTAAAGTTTTTCAGAAAAAAGACTATCTGAAATTCAATGCACCCTTGTGACAGCACAGCAGAAACTTATGAAATCCTATTTTTTAGAAGTCTGTCTAACTTCATCTTAAATGTTTCTTTCCTTCTTCAGTTTTTTTACTTATGATATAGAAACATCAGTCAATATATTAATTTTGCTTAATGATGACATATTTTAGTATTTCCTCCAGCAGCAGTGGAAAATAACGTAACTTAATTGTTAACATTTATTCATATACGGTTGCATTATATGAGACACGGTCGTAACTGGACATTAAGAACCAGTACTTCAAAACTATTTTAATTTTATTTTCAAAATGAAGGTATTATCTTTTACTAACTTACCATCAACAGCTACTTGAATCTTTTGACTTGCAGCTATTGTCCCATTTCCACGGACATTGATTTTTACAATATAATTGCCCTCATCACTGATATGCAATGGATTAATTCTCAAAGATGCATTTGGTGGTATAAGGGTAAACTTGTGCTGGTATTCCAAGTCTGGAACTACWGTTTGATTTACAGAACCAAGCAAGTATTTTGGATTACTTTCAGACCTYTCAAAAAGCCAAATTATCTGGATTTCAGAAGCTGTAGCATTGAAATTGTAGTCCACAGTAAGATGAAGTGGTTGCCCCTCAATACCATGGATGGTATGAGATGGTACTGTCAATTTTAAGGCAGAACAAATACCTGCATAAAAATGAAAGAACAAACAAATAAACAAACCCAAATCACAAATTGAAACCCTAAAAAACTCAAATGAGAAATTCTCAATGTGAAAAAACTCTCAAGGCTAAAACTTACATTTTTTTGCATGGTTATAACTCAGTTTTTATGTAAGAAAGGGGCAAGAGCTCATTGACCTTGGTGAAATTGGACCTACTTACCTACTTACCTCTATCCCCAAACTATACAAAAAGCCAACAGAAGGATCTTTTACTGTTGAAAGTCTGACAAAAATGAGGTAATGTACATTTACCTTAATGTATAAAATATTTTCCCTTTAAAATATTTCAAAATTCTARTTCTTCCACAGTCTAATACTCTTGGATTGCACACTCAGTTTTTAGGATTTTTTCTGGGTTGCTTCAGCAGCAGAGGAGCTTCTTAGGTACTCTACCAGTTACACTGAGAAACTGAAAATATGACCAGCAGCACTTTCATGTCTGACAAAAGCCATATATAGTTATTATTTCTGATTGCTCTGTACCTGTAAGACTAAATTCAAGAAACAATAATAAGCTTGTGAAAGTCAAATATTCCAGCCTTAGGAAATTGGCAGAATTAAGGCTTGCTGTTGATATGCACAAAAGTGAGTTTTTCAGCCACATGATTAATTCTGTTTTCCAAAAATTCTGTCTTTGTTTTGGTGCAAAAAGGCCACTCCCTCAGTTAATCATTGTCTTTCCCCTATATTTTTTAAAATAATTTTTCCTTGTGCTGGCCTAAGACATAATTATAGAACACTATTTCAGCTTTATTATAGTCCCACTATTCTTGGGACTAAGTTATCGACTTTTCCACAGCACTCACAAGAACAGCAACGATGTAAAGCATTGAATTAATGAACTGATCTCACAACACCATTATAACTAATAGGACTTTATAGATGAAAGATTTAAGCCCAAAGAAAATWAACAGCAAAAATACCCACTCATTTTGTATRATCAACTTCAAATTTTAAGGACAGAATTTTTCAAAATACATACAAAGATGTTTTAGCATGTTCAAGATGCAACTCCAATTGCAACTCCTAGTTGCAGGTTTGCTCAGATTTGAGTTTTCAGTATTGCTAAAAAGCACACTGCAAATGCTGAGACAAAACCCAAGGAAAAAAGCAACCCCTTATAACTACAAAATGTGAAAACTGTAATTTAAGCAATCCATCTGCTACCACATAAGAACACACTGGAGACTGAGAATACACTGCCCAGAACAACATGGAACACTTTAACCATGCACCATCTATTTTTTTTTCCTGCTAATGATCATTTTTGGTTGGATCTGATGATCCTTGAGGTCCCTCCAACCTGAGATTTTGTGATACTTTACATGCTTCTAAATACCTGTAACCAAGAAGTAACTCCCCAGCTGATGAAAATGGAATGCATTTCTAGTTGGAAAGAGGTGGGTGAGTAGGGGAGGGCAGAGAGAGCCATGTATGAAAAATAYGTGACTGTGTTCATTAATATAATGCAGAGATAACTTTGTTTCTTAAATTTCCTACTTTCATATCACTATTCTATATGACAGAAATTGTTAAAGGTTCATACATGTCTTATTTCCTAGGCTGTATGACAGAAAAAGGTAAAAATATCAATTCAGTAGCTTCATATGGTGTCTGTACATGTCTTTTGGGGTAGAATTGTCCAACTTCAGTGCACTGTTGTTTGTCACGATATAATTGCAAAGAAAACTGTTGTTGGGGATTAGGGTGGGGACACAAAAAGGGGGCAACGGTTACAGACGCAGCAGCAATGCCAGTAATTAATGTCAGAGGTACAGAGCAGAGAGYGTGTAAGGGAACTGGCTCATAGGTAGCCAGCAATGCTGTACAGAATCTACCCCMAAAAAAGTAATTTTATGACTAGCTTCACTTTTTGTAAAGCTGAGCAATATTCTTCTCAGCTGAAGACAGCTCACAGCATTTCTGAGGGCATGGCAGGGAAACCAAAGGAAAATGCTRCAGAATACTGAAGGGGAAATACATGGAAGGACAGTGAAATCCTTTGACAGAAAGCCTGGCAAGCCCTCATTAATGGGGGTTCAAGAGGAAGTGGGTGGAGGGTTTCAGGCTGCATGGACTTTGATTTGCAAAGGACTGGTTGGGGTTCAGCTGAGACCAGAGGATAACAGTGCAAACAGAGAGGAAGAGTGTAGAAAAAATGCAGAATGGCTTAAGTGGAGGATACACAGGACAGACATGTTTACATGCTTAACTTTTTAGATSAAACACCTAAAATGGATGATGCACATCAAAATGAAGCCTGCTCCCCCAACATTTTTAACAGTATTTGTAGCTTGCTGTCCTTGCAATTTTTTAACAGGAGGTTAAGTATATTGTTGGTGTAATGCTTCTCAGACATTAATATGCTCCCTGACAACCTTACAGTACAAATCAGATTTAAATTGTTGCTGTCCACTTAAAAAGAGAGAAAGAGAAATCCTTCACAGTAGAATCCTTCACAAAATATTTAATGCTGGAGATCTATTCYATATAACCCACCAACTATGCTTCAATTTTTAGATCAACTGGAATAAAATCAAAAACATCTATCAAGCATAAAGCTGTAATTAAAAGATCTGTCCATATATTTCCTCATTCTTGGTGCATGATGCTGTCCAATTTTGGATTTATTTAGCGGTCAATAAGTGATCGTGTTGTTGGACAAGATGTCAGTAACAAAAGAAGTATGATCATATAATATAGAAAAAAAAAAGATTTCTCACAAATCTGTTTGTGCAAAAAAATTAGAAAACCTAAGCAGGCCTTGTGAGCACCAGGATAAGAGGGATCAGCAGTATGGAAGGTAACAGCAAAATAGAGTAAAAAAAAASAGAATTGGGGTTGGAAAACTTACTTTATTTGCAGTTAAAAACTTTGGAAGGAAAGTGCAAATTAACTTTTTTTCACTTGATTCACAGCTTGTTACACACGCTCTGTGTAACAGCTTGGAAAGACATTTTGATCTGCAGTTAAGGAAATTCTTTTAGCTAGGACCAGAAGTGCTGAGGGCAGAAACTCCACTTTCCCCAGTCCCTTCAGGAGCAGCTTTGGATAACCCCAGTTCTTGTTGGTCTCTCTGGCTTTGCTGGGGTGATTTTGTGGAGTGCCAGTATCACACAGGAGCTTCTCCACGGCTGGCAGGAAAAGGGACAAGGCAGGCTGAGACTGGGAAAAGTAATTAGATAATGGTGCTCTGTCAAAGACAAGGGATTTACAGGAGCAGTGATGGAAGAATTCTGGTCTTTGCAGAGATCATGTCTTCTGCAGTCTGGAATATTCTTTGTTGAAAGGGTTATTTCTTCACCAAAAGTGTTGTCAGGCATTGAAATGGGATGCCCAGGGAAGTGGTAGAACCACCTCCCCGGAGGTRCTTCAAAGATATGTAGACGTGGCACTCAGAACACACCTTGATGGTAGAATTGGCAGTTATATATTTATATAGCTGGACTTGATGMTCTTAAGGGCCTTCCTCAACTTAGAAGGTTCTATGATTCCCTTGTATTAGACTAATWTTGATTTTTAATTTAAACTGAAGACTGTTTTGACTAATCCTTGAATTCATGTTAATAGCAAAATCAAACCAATATGTGAAACTAAATTCATATTTATYAGGCACAAATTCCATACAATTTAAGCCTATCCCTACAGCTTTGCAAATATAATACACTTCTTTTCCAAGACAATAGAATTCCCATAATTAATTTTGGTATAATGATGGTAAGGGCTGCACCAAAACGACCTCCATTTGGAGCTCAGTGATCTGTGCTTTGCATCCATCTCACTTAGCTACCACCAGTATTAGCAAGCACAACAGAATTGTTGTTGACACAAAACAAGGGCTGCAGTTTTAGTTTAAATAAAAATCTATGACATAACTTTKGAGTTTATGGCATAAACTGAAACCTGCCTAGCAAGGTTTTAGCATTCTCTGAATTTAACATGCATATCTCCTTGTCAAAGTGAGTTTGGATTCTCAACTGCTTTTCACCAGAGTGTTCATTTAGCCCTTTAGCTCTCCTGAACTTGGTGCAAAATGTCACTAGATCTATGATAGTATTTTTTTTTTTTCGTTTTTACAATGTTCATTTATGAAAAAAAAATCCCAAGCAACCCAGATGTAATGGTCCAGAGAAGCTGCAATATCTATACCTCCATTTATATTATGGAAAACTCAGGCATACTCTTCCCTGGATTGGGATTTTTGCCCAAGAGAAAATTCCACTGAGCTTTGCTACTGGACTTAATTTTATCTACTGAGGTCAATGTCTTCAGTGGCCTTTGTCACATGTCTCCAATGCATCCAACTCTTGTCATGATATAAAGTAGAAAATGTGTATATCTTACTAGAAAATGTGTATATCTGGATTAGGGTATAAGACTTCCTGGTGAACAAACATGTATTCTAAAGCACTCGGCCTGCATGACAACACCTCTTGCAGGACTTTAATGAAAAATATCCAATAAAATGGAAATGTAGATAAAGCACACAGTCACTGTTACCAACCAAATATTTTTCATTTTAAAAGAARACATCAAATAATCTTCACATAAAACATCAATCATTAGGAAGCCAAAAGTACTGAAATAGCATTAAGCACAAAATCAAGCAAACTAGGTGACTCCATAATAAGCTAGAACTGTGAGGTTCACAAAGAAGATAAAACAAAAAWTGTTATATATTAATGATTAGAGGATGCACTACATTTGTAATATATATTTCCTCTGTTGACATTTACAAAARCAATTAWATATAGAAAAATGTAATTGCAGTAGTTTGCAGAAATAAGTTTATCTAACATTTGATCACAGGATATTTCTGTAAAACTGCATAGAACACCATGGATAACAAATGCACACATGAAAACTGCACCGAGACACCAAACAAAATGCACTATTAATGGGGAGACATTCCTCAGTTGACTAAAAGCTAAATTTAATTTAAATACCAATCATATGTAGGCATTACATGTAAATTAATTAATCATTAAGAAGTGAAAAATAATGTATCAGTGCTGTCTCAAAAAATTTTTAAAGAAGTGTGTAACAGCTTCTGTATAATCTTTTGTTCAGAACCTGTCCAGCCTTACTTGTTAGAAAGAATCCACAACATATGTTACTCAGTAAAATGTAATAATATATATTTAATCAATACCCCTGTTTTAAATGTAGATTATATACATGTAATCAGTGCCTACATTTTAAACAGATTATTTTTGTATAGCTGCTAAAACTTAATTATTGTAATTGTAGATTAAATCRTAAATTATTACATTAATTTTTATTTAGCTGCTTAAACTTTAGCTCCACTCATAAAATAARGTGCCCCTATCTGATAAAAAGCTTTTAGACTACCTTCCTGAAACAAAATCTGACAATACAACAAATATATCTTTAAATTTATAAACATAAATCTTACAGAATCAATTCACAATTCCACAAGGACAATCAAATATAATTCATACTGTATCTTACCTACAAGCAGAAAATATATTTTGCACTGTAAGTCCCAAAAGAAGTTGGCTAAAGGGCTCCATAAAAGCATCCTGTCCCACACAAATGCCACCTTCTCAGCACTAAGCCAGGGTTTGGACCTGCAGCTGCTGGTTTATTTGCTAGGGAAATCAGCAATGAGTTAACAGGTCCTATCCTGTCCCCTGCCTTATGTGATTTGAATATGTGTATACAAAGAACAAAGGGAGTGGAGCACCTGTTAGATGAGCACCCATCTTCATTGCCTCTGACTTTATCATAACCCTTCCCCGGCAGTCACAGCAAATATGACACAGAACGTAATAAATGGGGCGCACAATACAAAGTACATTTAATTAATAGAAGTAAGTAAACGCACCAAGTGAGCAGGTTATATAGTTATTAACTTCCTTTAGTTACAGTTTCATAAAAAATATAATGATGCTACATGCTTCTGCTATTTCAAACAAAAATTAGTACTCAGAATTTTTTTTAGATTTTTTTCTAATAACAGCCTAATAACATCTAATTTTCTGATGTTACAAAAAAACCATTACACAGCTATTAAAGAGCCCTACTAATTTTTTTCCTAGCACTTTCAAGCCCATATCTTTTCTGTATTTTTTTTCTTAACATTGAGTATAACTCAGCAAAGAATTAATTCCCTTTCTCTAAACAACATGTGATGTCAAGTGCCTCTGAGACATCTTTGAAATGAAAATCCAATGGCTAGAATGGACAGCTTCCTTCAGTTGTTAACTGCTGATTATTGTTCATTCTCCATTAACTTACATCAGTTTAAATTAATATTAATGTAGGGTTTGGATTTTGTCCAAAGCTGACACTCACTGTACAAACCAGCAGCAAACCGGACAAACCCTCCCAGAGTTGTGCAGCAACAGTTTGCGACAGCAAATATTCGTGGTGACAGAGATAGTTTATCTGTACAAAGCCCCACAATATTTTTTACTAAACAGCACTTAGGCAGACTATTATGGATTAACAAATATTAGGCTAGACTGTATCCTGCTTTGTGCAGGAGGGACTGGTTGCCTCCCCCTCATTGTGTGCTAGGAGCAGGGGTCCAGCAAGGTGCTAAGCTCCCCTCAGAAGGGATGTACACTCAATTTTGACCGAGGTGAAAGCATCCAGTTGCTCCCAGATCCAATATAAAAACCACAAGGATTATTTCAGGTTAATAAAGCAGAAGTACAGTGGTCCCACCAGAAATAATATCACCCCCCAGCATATGTCAAGAGATGAAGAGGGTATTTCACATATTCCCAAAGGCTTTCTGGATCCATTTTCCTGCTGCTCCTGAATGCTGTTGCTTATAACCTGCTTAATCCACTTAACTATGGGCTAGATATATCAAATTGCAACCATTTACAAAACCTAGGTTAGAAATTATTATCGACCTGATTTCACCRTGTAATAAAACATTGGTCACAGGTTCTAACTAAGCTCTAATTGAAATGATGGGAGCTTTCACATTGGAATAAAGCCTATATTGGCACTTTAAATGCCCCACATGGGCAAAGAAAATAATAAAGATAAAAGGAACAGGTTAGTACAGTTCATTTCCAGCATTTGAACATATTCTTGATGTCATTAATATGCTGTGAGTTTTTACACTAACGCATGCAAATGTAGTAAACCGATTTTTTTCTGTGCAATTTTAGCTTGTGCTAGTTGTTAAATGGCATTTAGACTTCATAAAACTTAAACTAAGACTTAAAAATAAATCCTCCCTCCTTTTGAATAAAAGCCACTACATTAAAGCAACACTATTTGCAGCACCAACATTCTGAACAACTGCATTTCTGCAAATTTCAGTTATTTTAATAATAAGAAGGAACTTTGTTATGCGCTAAACTTCCTCGAGGTTTTCCACGAAACAGTTACTCCCGAGGGTAGCCACAAGTAATGAGCTCCTGCTAAAGAAAGCAGGGAGGGACCATATTCCTGYGCCTCCCTTTGTCACTGTGTCGTTTCACAGAAAGCTGCTCTTACCGGACCTACCCTGCTGAGTAACAACAGGATCAGGAAACACGCGGAGCTCACCTGCGTGCACTCTAGGAGGAACAAAMCCCCTTTTTCTACAGGTACTACCATGACACAGTGGATGTGTTGGTAGTTTTACTGTTGAACGCTGTCTCCAGTGAAGGAAAGGCTGTAGGATAAACTCTTTTCTTGTGCTGATATAAAGCAGATTAAAAAAGCGATCTGGTGGGTTTTGGTGCGGAGTTTTGTTTTTTAGTCGCTATCTAGACGWCTAARTAGAGTGGCWTAAGCATGTTTTGGAGACGCATACYACATCCATCACCCGTGAACAGGCCAAACACCCTTGGTGCACCCGAGATAACGGGGAAATGCTCGTCTACGTGTTTATTTTGGTTTGTCTGCACAGAGCATGCTTTTGTCTTCTCAGGCAATCACTTTCGAAATGGACACAGGCAAACCCCAATGTTCAGACACCCCACCGCACAGTTCAGGGGCAGCCCCGATCCCCGCCGTGCACAGCCATCCCTCAGCCTCCGCCGGGGCAGCACCAGCGGCAGAACCCGCCCCGCCCCGCCTGCCCCTCCCGGCCGTGCTGCCGGGGTTTGTAGTCGGGCCGGCCGGCCCGGAACTACCGCTCCCAGGGAGCCGCGGGCGGGCGCGGTCAGGTGGCGCCCAACATGGCTCCGCCGTGCCCCGGCTCCCTGCGCGGCYGCTGAGCGCAGTCGGGGCGGCGGCGGGGCCATCATGCAGAAGATCAAGTCGCTGATGACCCGCCAGGTGAGCGGCTCTTCTCGCGGGGGGCGGCGGGGTCCCGCTGCGGCCGTCCCGGGCCCTCCTCGGGGCCGCCGTGCTCGGGCAGCCCGGAGAGCCGCCGGGGCGCGGGCATCGCCCTCTGCCCTGCCCGGGGAGGGGAGGCTTGGGGCCGGTGAGCTCTGGCTGCACACRCATCCGCCTTGTTTTTCTCTACGCCGAGAAATGGAAGCGTAGAGAAATGCCAACGCGTAGCTCGTGTCGCAACAGGGAAATCGCTGTTGAGGATGACACGGCCGGCCTGTGTCAGTTTGCTTTTTTTTGACATATAATTTTGGGCGCTGGGCTGTGGTTCTGTAACATGGCTTTGTCTGGCAGCAAATGCTCTTGGTGYAAAGGGAGGCGAATCTGTGGAGATRCCAGGGACACATTTGGGTGGGCACACAGTGAATGTGTACCAGAGAACTCGGTATGTGCCTGTCAGCCCTGTGCTGTGTGCCACTTGTACCAATTGTCTCCAGGATTGTGTAGTTCTAAGCCTACGTTTGGACCAGTATTTCTGAGGTTGAGAGAATTTTTGAAGAAGTTTAACAGCAGAACATTCTAGTTATTAAGATATATGAGGTACCTCTGAAAAGAAGCCTGTTTATATGTGTGTCTAATTGGGGAACTTAAAAAATCACTGGTATCATCCACTGCATCAGATATTCTAGATAGTTATAGAAAATCATGGGAAGTCAGAAACTTTTTTTTTTCTAAAACGATGCCCTCAGAGTTGTGATGCTTATGCAGGAGGCAGGGCTTATAAATGAACACTGGCATGGCAGTAGAATTGCCAGAATAATGTTCTGTTCCCCTTCAGTAGATGGGTACATGATTCGTTTTCAGCTACACTAAGAGGAGTGCTGGGAACTTGCCCAGTGTGGAGACGATGTTGTCTGCAAATGATATAACTTAGGCAATTTTTGGTCCTTGGGAACCATTAGGTTCCATTTACCATTTGATAAGTGAAACCTTTTATTTTTTTCTGGAGATAAGCCACTAGTACTGCAYATTTTTGAGAGGACTTGGGGAGGATTTTGTGTGAAGTATGAGAAGCTACAGCAGTTGCTCCTTACCTTGAACTTCTGATGCATAGAGGTGAGTCACCTTTGATGGTGGCAGTCTTAAAGGGACGATGTTTTGAAATTATATGTARCAAAATCTGAAAATCAAAACCAAAATGCAGAGATTTTGCATCTTAGGAAGATGAAACAATTGTAAAATGTAGTAGTTACCACCRAAGTGATGTACAAYACWTTGTCAGTTTCAAAGAATAAATACRAAYTTTCCTGCCATAAACTAACATAGTATTTSCTTTTAGAAGWATGGGTACCCAGGGCCTGAAAGGGSCTTGGAAAAAAATACTGTTAACAACATTCACAGGAACAGGAGGGAAGTATACCTGAAACTCTTAGCTCACAGGAACACCCTGAAGTCTCAAGGGAAGCTGTAGTCAGAGCTATATTTGAAACCTGAAGTGCTTAATTTTGGCCTAGGGAGCTGGCAGCAAGTACACTAAGCAACATGTTCATTGTATTGCATCATGAAATGGTGAGATGCTGGATCAGGTTGTCAAGAGAAGTTGTTGATGCCCCATCCCTGGAAATGTTCAAGTTTGGACATTTCCAATAGGCAATCTGATTTAGTGGAAGGTGCCTGGCCCATGGCAGGGCTTGGAACTAGATGATTTTTAGATTCCTTCTAACCCAAACCTTTCTATGATGATTGTGAATATGTGTGATATTCAGAAAACATACATGCTATTTATGCGGCTATATGTGTTTTAAAGATTAATAATGATATAAAGCAGCTAATGTGGATTATGCAACTTTTTTAGTTTAGTTATGCATAGGGAAAGCCAATCCTAGTAGTGAAATATGGTAAATAGAAAAATATGCCATCAAGCAMAAATAATCTTGCTACAGAGTAGGTGGCACCTAACTTGAATTCAMTTATGTGATTCCATTAAACCATTARGTTAGTGGAACAAAGGATGCTATGTTTTTTGGACACATGCTCATTCTAAATTTTAAAATGACATCTGGACATTGAGAGGAGCTTCTGAGTGAATTTTATAGAGAAAATGTTAGTGAACTGTGCTCAAAAGGTACATATTGTAGCATAAAGTTGGAAATGCTTAGATGTTTGAGGAGCATAATTTATACAACAATGGTCTTGCTTAAATGTTTCTRGATTGAGATCTTAGCCTTCCAGCTGCATGTCAGGTATTTATTAAGGAATGTAGATGCTTATTCAACATCAGGTAAGAATTGCTTTTAAGATACATAAAGCAATTAAACTTAACTGATTATTAAAATTCTTTTAAAGGGTCTGAGAAGTCCTCAGGAGAGTGTTAATGACCTCAGTCCTATTGAAAGCTTTCGGATTCCTACTAAGGTATGAYACAACATCCCTTCCCTCCCACTCCTTTTGTTTTTAATTTTTCATTTTATAGTTAAATGACAGTTAGTTGTGTCTTTTTGGTCTCTCCTTAACACCAGGTTTGCTATTGTTCCTTTTTCCGAGCTTTATTTCTTGCTGAAAATGTTTTACRGCATTTTTATGAAAGAATTAAAAGCTGTGAAACAAATCAGTTCACCAACTCTGAAGGAACTTGCATGAAATTTTCTTTCTTGAAGCTTTTCAATTGTCACTGGATGCTGATCTTAATATTGTTTAGGTTTCTTGCTGGAGTGAATTAAAAAGTAAAGAAGGAAAAATAGAAATGCCCTTTTTGATTTTATATTGGAAAGTAGATGCTGTATGAGTAGCCTKTATAGTTATAGTCTTAACATTTAGTCTCTTCATGATTTTGGTGCTATATTTTGTGATTTYGTGGTTTTAATCTTCAGCATACACAGTTAACTTCATGTTCTACCTTAAAAGTCATATCTTTATAATAACAATAGTTTTTGGCATTTTTTGGGTCTCACTATGTAAATGATGCCAACTCACGTCATCTCACAAGTCATGCTGAATCATCTGTGTGTGAGGGAAAGATTATCACAATATTTGACTGTTCCTTATATCCTGTTGATCTGAGTGGAGGATTCACAAGACTTCTGTGGTCGTTGTCACTTATTTTCTACAAATTTGGAATTTGCCTTTAACCAATAAGATATTTAAATTACTGACTTGAATTTAGATGACCTGTTTTAAAATAGTTAAAAAATCAAAAGACCCCTTGTGTTACTTTGCCTTTATGTAAGTACTGTATAATAGGTTGCTTGTGTTGAGGCAGATCAGAAAATTAGCATTACTGTACATTTAAAAAATCAAGTAAGCATCTCTGAATTGGTACATGATTCTTTGTTAAACAGTGCCCAATATGTTGATATCAAAGAGCAAAAGCATTCAGAACTGTCCCMTGTCCCTGGCACTCCCTGAGCATCCAGTTTCAAACTGTCTTTTTTGCCAAGTTGGCTCTCCAGGTAAAAGTAGATGTCGGGGGTCTTGGCTGGATTTCCATTCTGTAATGGTGTGATGTTATGTGTCTGGTAAGTCTACACTGTGTAYCAATAACTGTATTTGTCTCTTGAATCATGAAAGTCTCAAGCTGTTTTGATGACAGAATGGTTATGATGCTTCACTTTCATCATCACACTTCCACATTCAAATTGGTATCTCCAGACTGATTTAGGTCAAGTGTTACTGAAAGCTTCAAAAGCTGTGTTAAAGCTACACAGAAGTATGCAGAATAAAAGGCTGCAGGGTCAGCATGAATTAGGRACAGCATGAATTACTGGTAAAAACACAAGCCATTGGTTAGCCAATGCTAACCCTAGTTACAAAATCCATGTTTTTTGAGATGAGGGCCTGTCACACTAATTTGGAGGTCAAATGGGAAATATGGAYGACAGGAAGAATGTGCTGACATTGCATCCCCTGAGGGAAAAGCCAGCAAAATTCTTTTGGGTCTTGATATTTGAATATGTGAAAGTTGTTGATTTGCTGACTGTTTACTGACTGKCCAGCATGTCAAAGTAATGACTGTACTCCTCAATTTTTAATTTTTAGACAATGAAATTGTTTGGGAGTTGGATATTTTAGTGAGTACCTGMGTGTATTCACTCACGTTAACTGGTACTCCAATAAGTTCTGCAACTATCTTGAAAATTTCCATTTGCTTCCATCATGTGAAGGCAAATCACCAGCAAACTTACTTTACGCATTATAATACAGACTCATGCAGCCAACTGACTCTCTCAGGCAAGTATCACAGTAAGAAGTAAGTGTGTAATAGTTTGAGTCTCAGTAAGTCTGTAGAGAAGCCAAAGCTGATCTGCAAGGTTGGATACAACAGGTTGCCCAGAGAAGTTGTGGATGCCCCATCCCTGGCAGTGTTCAAGGCCAGATTGGATSGATCTCTGAGCAGTCTGGTCTAGTGAAAGGTGTCCATGACAGGGCAGTKGGAACTAGATGATCTTTAAGGTCCCTTMCAAACCAAACCATTCTATGAWGATTTTARRATGCTTCTAAGGTAATTCTAAGATGATTCTATGATACCTAGAAGAGAAAGTTGTCTGTAGAAGGACATAATATCTTTTTTTCCTGAGATACCTTACTTCATTGGTGTACTCTGATTGCCCAGGGAAACTGTAATACTTTTTGAATCRTTCTCTTATTGTCAGCTTTGTTGTTTCCCGAGCTGGTAACAGTTTTATTTAGCAGATTCTATCACAAAAGGCTGAGGTAGGTATTTTGCATGCTTCAATTCCAGTGTGTGGGATTAATGGTGAGTTGACTTTGAATTAGGTTATGCTTATTTTGATGATAACCATCTCACGTGTGATATATGGATATTGTTTGACTTTGTGGCTTATAATGGTAAACAACACTGAGATTTTAGTTTTGTAATGCTTTTCCTATAGATAAGGAAGCGTGGCTTCRTTAGTTTGTGTGGTTTTCTATTTCCCCAGCAGTAGCAGAGTGCTTTCCAGGAGTGCATTAAGTGGTAGTGTGGGTCAGATGTGTTCTATGGATAAGGTTTGTTGCTGTCTCCATCAGGAGCATTGTTTTCAAAGTATAATGTTTGTTTTGGTRGAGTGAGGGCTTTTTAATAAGTACTCTCTATACATATTGAAGAAGGAAAGATCAAACGAAGATTTTGTATCAAAGATAGGTAAAAGAYCACAAACTTCTCTGTGGTACTACCTTCCCTAGCTAGGGAAGGGGAAGGGAGGGGCAGGGAGCAAAATCAAAGTAAGTTTAYAGATATAGTTATACATTATATTATATGATACTATATACATTAATTGCTATATAATATATATTACATTGTTGTATGAAATATATAGTTGTAGAATATATACTGTTATATGAAATATATATTGTTATAATATAGTATAATACATTATAATATATACATTAGGTTAGATAGTAGAAAAATTTTTCTTCMCCCAGAGTGTGGTTGGAACAGGCTCCCCACAGATGTGGTCATAGCACCGAGCCTGACAGAGTTCAAGAAGTATCTGGCCGTGCTCTCAGGAACATGATGCAAATTTTGCAGATGGTCCTCGCAGGGCGAGRAGTTGGACTTGRTGATCTCTTTGTGGGTCCATATGAAGTCAGATACACTTTCCATGGTTCTGTAATTATAAGACATATATAATCTATAAAGATATCTTTGTATATAGATAAAATTCAAAGATGACATTTGTGCATATGGATATAGACACATACATAAATGCTTTAATACTTCTTTTATTTCACAGTAGTACAATGTTGCAGTATACCTGCTGATTGAATCTGTTGAGYGGGCCCTCCTCCTGGTATTTAAGATTAACTTTTAGCACAGGTGTCATCCATTTTCAGAAAGGATGGATATAAATCAGCTGCCTATTGATTGGTGTGTTTTTGGCTCATGACAGAGCAGGGGGCTGTGTCCAAATGAGTGTAGCATAGTCTTGGCCCCTGGCACTCTCTGGGTAGAAATTGCTGTCACTGAACTTCAGCTTTTAATTAGATTAACAACTGTTTACAAATATTTTTTTCTGAGTAGTATCAGTTTTCAATGTCTTTCCAGCCTTTTAGGTATAGTGACTGGAATGTGGAAGGTGTTTGCTTCCACTCCTTACCAGTAATGCTTCGTTCAACAGAGCAATATTGRTTTTGCTGCTACAGGCAATGTAGCATACAAGGAGAGTGGGAGCGTGACGCACTGGGAAATAGCTGGGTAGGCATCTAAAACTTGCTGAACTGCATTTCAGATGAGTCTGTAGTGAGATGACTCTTCTGAAATATATCTCAAGGAATTGCCACAGGCTTCTATACTGTAAACTATTTCCATGGAACAGGAAGACGAAATGATGTGATAAATGGGTGGATGCAAGCATTGTATTTTTTTTTTAGCAATGGCTTCTTTGAGTATGCAAAGTTGTCAGACTTCTTTTTCCTTTCTTTTCCTTCCCAGAAGCTGTCTTTCACTGATCCATTTAGGTGGCATTATGAGRGAGACTGCTGCTGCGGGTTGCACTAATGGTAACCTGACAGGATAAATTGTCTTTCCATGAAAGTATGATGCCAAAGTACTAGGGAAAAAAAAAGTACAATTGACCACACAAGTGACACAAGTTTTAGGTAGTAGGTGAAGCCTCTTGCTGAATAAAACTTTGGAAAAATGAGTAGCCCATGAAACAGTATCTTAAAAGGCTGTGTTGGCCCATTAGTATTTGGGGACTTCCTACTGCTGAACGTGTTAATAACCTGCTTGATATGCTRACATATTAACCTGGACTGGTGGGTTGAAGTGAGTACTGTGGGGTCCACCTTGCCAATATGATATCTTCCTGACATCCTATGTATCTAATTAAGTTTAGCAATGGCAAAGTTCACTGCAAGGATATTATTATTCTCTGCTGCAATTTTTATAGGTTTTTCTGTTCAGAATAGCACTTGGACTTGCTGAATTAACATAAAATGTAAAATGTTAAATGTGTTTTAGTGCAGGCTTTTTTTTCAAGGAAGATACTTTAATGGCAATAGCTAGAAAAGTTTTGAGGTGKAAAAATAAGAGGGATTTAATATAGCTTCTCTCTTTCCTTCTTCTAAGTGTGTGAGCACGAACTGTACATAGCTAAACAGGACCTTCACCAAAACCCCTGAAAGAGTGGTCATATTTCTATGTATATAATTGGTTTTGTGTATCTTATCAAAAAGATCAGGAAAACWGAGTATCAGCAAATAAACTTTAGCTAGAGGTGGGTGCTTCCTTCAGTGGTGAGTGAATAAATTGGCCTTCACCATGTGGTTACTTGAAACTACTGGAGTGTGATATGCTGAAAGCTGCAGGTTATCATGAAAAAAAGTTTGGCGTCAGATAATGTAAATTATGTGGGACCTGAACTTTATTCTGGAGAGTTGTTCTAACTAGACTGCTTTTCAAGAAAAAATATAAACAAAGTAAAGAAAACCTTGTCATGTAATAAATATTTTCCTGGCAGTGCTTTGGCAAGAAAACTGAGGTGAGTGATCTTCCTGAGATGGGCTTGTAATAATTTTTAGTTTTTAGCTTAATACTGCCAAAACTCAATGTACTGTAAGATGCGAAGCTTATTTATAGAGGGATGTCCAGTATAAAGCTACCATTTGTTAAGAAATCCGCAGGGAAATAATTTTTTTCTGTTTTTTTTTTTTTTTCTGTTTTAAAGGACAGGCATGCATATGGTTAGTTAATAGCTTCATTGCTTTTTAAATTAAACAAATGCAAGAGCAGTATGCCATTGAATCTGAATATGTGTGTCCTCTGCCAATGCATTGGCACCCTCATGTGATGTAAAGTGCAAAACCATAGATTGAAAAATTGAAACGGACTCTAAAGAGGGACTACTTTTCAAAAATCTTTTTGCTCTCATCCCTAACGAGCTCTCTTCTCTGTTCCTCATGATCACACCTAAATGTGAGGTGGAAAGGTGCTGCTGGTGAACCGAGTGGCTGGAGCTGAGGGGACAGTCCTGCAGTCCTGTCTGTCTCTTTGGTCCCGGTGTGGAGCTGCAGGCTCTTCCCCTGCCATCTTCTGTAAAATTGTGTCGGCACCGTGAGTGGCATGGAGCTGACCCAGCCTTTGCCTCTGTGTCAGCAAGGCCGTGTTGATGCTCTGGCACTGGGGACATGTGGTCACTGAGAGTGGGACCACATCCAAACCTTTGTGCCTTTGAAGAGTTTGGCTGAAGAATGGCATCAGTTCCCTGCGATATTGTTATTTATTGTCGTTATATATCTAGTTATACAGATATGTAACGATATAACTATATTATTTTCTTGTTTCTCTCGGTCTGTGGGTGCAGTCCATACCCTTACTGTGGTTGAGGGTTGGGTTGCTCCGTTCACCTGCGCTGGTGGCAGTGAATGCATCAGGCGTTTCAGAGATCAGGAGAAGGCGACTGCTCGAGGGCTTTTCTCCGGTTCCCTGCCTCCTTGATGGCTTTTCTGCAGTTCCTCGGTGGCTTTTTTGCGGGTCCCCGCTGCCCCATGGCGGCTCGGAGCCTCCCGGCTGCTCGGAGCCCGCGGCCCAGCGGGGGGAGCCCGTGCACCGCCGGCGGCAGCGCCTGTGGCCCCGGCCGCCCCTCCTTCCGCCTGCCTTGTGGCCGCTCGGGGACGCGAAATACGCTTGAAACCCGTTTTTCTCTGTGTTAGAGATACTGCTTTTTATTTCCCCACTGCCCCACCTTTTTATTTTTTCCCTTTTCCCCCCCTCTTTTTTTTTTCCCGGGAGGGTTATTTCAGAGGCTCCTCTGATGCTCTTCCAAGCCCTCCGCTTGTGATATCTTGGCTGCCTCTAACTGCGTAGAGAAACAGCACCTTGCTGTGTATTATAAGTGTCATTTTGACTCGGAACATGTACACATTGACCTTATCTCAGTTGACGTGCAAAATAAGCAAGTTAGCGGGTGTTCAGTCAATTAATCTAGGTGAAATAAACCCTTGTGATGAAGATACCAGTGCCTTGCCCCACTGTCGCAATTCAGCCCTGCTGGGAGGCTCAGGGTCATTATGGGACTGACTCTTTAGTCTGCTGGATTACTTCACCAGGGTTTAATCTTACTATCAAGCAATTTGATCCATTTCATTATTTTTGATGAAAGAATATTCTAACACTTCTCCATTTTGAGTCTCTGATAAAGGATTTTTCATTMTTTTTGAGGGATCAACATCCAGGAGAGGGCCACTATTAGTTGCAATGTCCAGTACAGCAGGGGAAGAGGATGTTCAGGCTGAGTCCTTGGTTTGCTTCAACCACCAGAAGCATTTGGGTTGTCAGGGAGACCTTTCAGAGGAGATCGTGACMGTGATGATGGAGATGCTTATCTTCTGAATATTAGCTTTCAGAAAGCCTACAGCACGTCTCTGCTTAGACCACTATGCYAAAATCTGAGCGCTGCTAATCTTGTGCAAGAAGGCAGATCTGTTCTCTTTTACCTGGAGAAATTCARGTGTTTAATGGCATGACTTTTACTKAAGTGAATTGTAAGGGTTGAATTGAAAAGTTATGCATTTGTAGTGACACGTCTACGTCACATTTACAAGGAGGGTTCTTCTGATTTTAAGAATTCAGGTTTTATTAATTTTGTTTTTGCAATTTTTTTTCTCCTTGTCAAGCAAATAGCTTGCCAGTTTATTTTTAGTTTATTATGAGAATTTCTAGAGTTAAGGAGGAAAAAACTGTGGACTCAGTGTGCACTTGGTGACGTAAATGTATAGATGAAGAAGTGTTTAAGTGGACTGCAAAGTTGAAGACCACACTATGTTTTTTGAAAAGTTTGAAATATCTTGCTCTCCCCAATGGGAAGTACAAGCCACAGTGTACTGACTGATCTTTCTGTTTTTTTGCCATTGCTTCTAGTGCTAATTTTGTAAATGGCTTTTGAAAGATATTTGTTTTGTTAAAACATTGTTCTTGCTAGRATGTGTTATTACATTATGGAAATTCTTTTTTGTTTTGTGCAGGAGGAGCTCAGAGAACTGCATGAAGAGCCAATTGATCCTCAGGCACAACAGGAAATAATTAACAGCATTGAAGAAGTTTATTTTTCCAATGACTCCTTTGATATTGTGAAGTATGAGTTAGAGGTAAGCTGTCATTTTTAAAGAAAAAGTGGTAGCATAACAAAAAATGACGACCAAAGGTATGCTTATTTCAATGAGCTATTTTTTGTTTTGTGTTTTAGATCTTGCATTAATACAACGCTGTATTCTCCTACATCCTCTTGCAGTTGTGTGCAGCTTCTAGCATAGAGTATTGGTGTATATATAGTATATAACCTCTTCTTTTAATGTGGTAGAATTAACATCAGATGTGCTAACAGGAGCTTCATAATTTAAACTACAGTGAAWAAGTCAAGATAGCTGAGGAAAAAAATCTGTTCTCTGTTTTGTATATTTTTTTAGCAAACTGACTGAGACAATAATTTGTTATTGGGTGGTTGTGTGTATACATATGGTGTAAAATAAAGTAACTTTGAGGTAATTATGATATTATATGAGACAGTTATGATCATAGGTTGTATATCTTAACACTAATTGATTTCAGTATCCATMATTTGAAAAAATTGATTAATTCTGCAATTTAGATTGCAGAAGCCATAAGAATGTTTCTTTAATGAAACTGTTTGCCTAGCTAATGCTATRTGTGAGTTAACATTCTTTAATTTCTTACTGATTTTAATTTATTATTTAAATGCAGAGGCTTCCTCCAGTACTTAGTCTTCAAGAACTGGAAGAGTACAGAGACAAACTAAAACAACAACAAGCTGCTGTAAGTAAAGTTTTTTCCTCTATACCCTCACACAATTTGTTTTCTGTCTATAAGTTTCTCAATAAGTATAATGAAAAGTTTTGATTTCTTAAACACTTTAGATACTAAGTATTTTTTCTTAATATTATGTGCCTTTATAGGGGAAAATCATCACTAAATCATACAATCATATGAAATCATGGAAGTAAATCTTAGTGATAAGTATTGTAACAAGGAGCAAATGGTTTAACTTTCTTTAGAAACTTGACTTTTTGAATGTTTATCTTGTAATGTTCAGCATGGTGCTGAATAGTGCAATAGGATCTCTTTGAGGGATTTCTGGCAATTTAAGACAAAGTGTTTTAAAAACTCTCCTTGAAGGTGCTATTTTCTCTTTTCATTTGCTACTGTGTTAATTGTTCACAAGGGTTTTTAGTGAACACTGATGCACAGTTATTCGGCAATAAAMCAAATGAACAAATGAAAGGTAATGAATAGTAACTATGACAAATGAGGAGAAATCAGAGTTGCAGGTTTTGAAAGGTGCTTGTTACGTTGTAGACTTTTTAATTTTCTGTTCATGTATTAATTGTTCTTCCACTGCACTTTTGAGATGAATAATATGGTCCARGAAACAAATCTATTAAGTGTGGCATTTGGAGAGTATCTGCAAGTAAAATAGAAGAATAAACCTAATTCATGTCTTTAAATAAATTAAATGTCTAGGAGAATGTTGCATTGTTAACAACACATAGAGAGTAAGTACCTTCTGACTTAGATTGCTTTCCCCATAATATACCTATGAAATTTTTTTAAAAATTAGTGAGAATTTGAGGAAGTGAATGTTCCATGTTTCACCCCAAGATGTATAAGGAAAGAAGTTGGAAGTGAGTGAGAGGTAGTTTGTTTTTTGTGTGCTTGTTTGGTGGTGTTGGTGGTTTGTTTTTTTTTTTAAGTTTAAGAGGGCATCTGATGGTGACCTTGTTTTGCAAGGAAGTGCTCTGAAGACTGAGATAATTTAAGTGAGATATGCTGCATAATCCTAGTATRTGTTATCAATGCCTTAGCCATTTCTGCTTGCAGGATGGGAGCTGGCTGCAGCTGGGGSAGTAGTTTCAGGGTGTGGCTGCTGCTGAAACATTTTAAGTAGAAAGTGCATGCAGCTAGTGAATATTAGKGGAGAGAGCTGAGTGCAAGTTTTCCAATAAATATGACCCAGATGTGTCTTTCATTCAGAAWACAGACAGGTGAAAACTCTCAAAGCCAAAACTTTTGGCAAGAAACATGTGCCCAGTTCTTCCCCCTACCAGCTCCTCCAGTCAGGATTGGTCCTTTCTTATTTCTTGATCTTGTCAGAATGTGTTTCTGGTATAGGAAGGAATTGTTGCTTGGGTTTGTTTTCCTCCTTGGGTATGTGCCAAGGTGCTACAATTTTTTATATGTTATATTTCATGTCCTTATGTCATATTTACAGGTAGAGTGTGAGCGACTGTTGCGTCTTTTCTTCTGTCTCAGTTATTGTCCGTTTGTCTTGTGATGGGTCATTTAGAGTATTGTCTGCCTTAAGGGATGTTAGTGTCTGGAAGACAGAACTGCAGAATGTTGTTAAGTCCTAAAAATACTTTAATGAATAGGTGAATAGGTTATTAGAAGATTCAAGAAGCCTGTTGACATATCACAMAATACCTCTGTTTTTGCAAAAAACTAAATACTGCCTTTTTCATGTCAGTGTCTGTATCTATAGCTGGCATAGGAATTTACAGTAGTGGTTTGAAGATAACAGGAACTTATAGATTTCTCTAATGCAAAGCATTTACATGAGTGTGAATTACAGGTACTAGAGCTCTCATCTTCCACTTCTCACTGATTGTTACCCTCTGCTTTTGCAGAGCTGAACTTGGTAATCCCTTTGTTTTCAGGATCACTATAAAATGCACATTTTCTGTAGTTTGCTCATTAGTTTTCCATTCTACTGGATGGATCTCTACTTGCTCAAACCTTTTTTAACATATGTATCATGACAACTTCAATTTGTAATMCTCTTGGTACAGACAATTTGGATTAGAAAAGTTTTTTAGTTGTATGTCTCCTAGACTTCATTTTAATTAGTAGTCCAATGCCATTAGCTATATTGTATTTTCTTCAGGATATKAAATATGTTTTACTGGTGTGATTAGGAAAGAGAAAATAGTTCATCCCTTCAGCAGACGCTGTTGGTAGGCATTGATCACCACGGTCACATTTGGTGTTAGCCTTTGCAATTCAGGCTTCCAAGATTTAGCACAGCACTATTGCATGGAAGACAATTTGGGGTGCGACAATTTGGAAATGAATGAAGTGACTAGGGGTAATATTGCTTATCCGGAAGAATATCCGAGAGAATAGCTTGGGAGCTCAGAAAGAAAAGTAGTATCACCAAGTTCTGGGAAAGACAAAAAAAGTGCCTGTGGCAGCTGCTTGATAGTGTTGAGTTGTTATTAGTCAAGGGTAACTGAGGACTTGCAAAACAAAAAGAATGAAAATGAAAATTAAATGTATCTTGTGTTCTTGTGTRCTGCTTGAACATTGCTTAATAGTGAAGAATCAAACTGTTAGGTTTGTCCTAGAGCAATGAATAACTAGCAAGTATATCCRTGTCCTAGAGTTTTTTACTGGTGCAGGACTAGAATGAAGAATATGTTGAAAAAAAGAAGGGGAAAATTTCACAGTGCATAGACTACAGAGTGAACAAAATTCCTTCAGAGAAAGAAGGTCATGTAGGCTTGTGTTGCATTTGGCCTGATAACATCCTATTCTGACCCTACCTCGATCTGGAGGGGCTCTTTTGCTGTCCTGCATAGGAAAGCTTTATTAGTTATAGAATAGCTAAGAGGTTAAGAACAACTGAAAAGGCTTGAAATTTCTTGGTTCTGGCCTGCTTTTGATATGGAAAGAGGAAAGCATAGCTGGGTATATGCCCCTGGTCCAGATTGCCAGCTGATGACATCGGAATACTTTGAAGACCATTTATGTGCAAATGGTGTTTCAGAGGATGGGAATTGTGCTGGTAGAGCCAATATAAGTTTGTTACAAGAATGCTGATTGAAGATCCCAGCTTCGTGCTTTGTTTGACTAAGCAGTCAAGTTTAGAAAAACCTCTTTGTTTCTCTTTGCCGATAGTGTGTTGTGGGCTGGTTGTCATAGCCAGGTCTTTTTTTTTTTCATTTCTGGGAGTATTGTTACGCCAAAAGAATATAGACGAATACCAGTAATTTCTTTGTCATGTTTGAAACTTATTTCTTCTAAAATATTTTTAGTCCCTACTGAAAAACAAAACTAAATACACTATTSTCAAGCTTGCATTTATAAGACTGTAAGCATTAGATTTCTTTTTAAGCTTCTGTGTTTGTACASAAGAGATTGATTAAGGTAGCAACGCCCTTTTAAAATTCAATACAGACAGCAGCTCTCAGGAGCATTCTACTTAAAATTCTACTCGGAGCAATGGAGAAAATTTTAAAATATGTGTATTCTACTCAGAGCAGTGGAGAAAATTTTTAAATATGCGTATTCTGTGTGCTGAGGAAAGGGTATAATCTGTAGAGGGTGAATATTCATTTTGACATAGTTTTAATTTAATACAATATCAGTCTGAAAGGTCAGTGTCCTTATTGCTTTCTTAGATCTGCATGTGTCGTGTTTTAACTCTAGATGGCAATGAAAGATCATGCAATCTCTCACTCACTTCCCCACCAGTGGGGTAGGGGGGAGAGTGAGAGCAGTAAAAGTGAAAAATCTCGTAGGTTGAGATAAAGGTATATAATCCAGAATAAAAAATAGGTAAAGCAAAAGCAAGTGAAGCAAAACAAGGAATTAATTCACTGCTTTCCATAGGCAGGCAGGTGTTCAGCCATCTCCTGAATAGCAGGGCCCTTGTGTAGCAGTAACTTGTGAAGACAAACGTCATCACTCTGAGCATCTTTCCTTCTTCTCCCCCCAGCTGTATATGCTGAGCATGACACCATATGATTGGGATATCCCTTGGGTCGCTTGGGCTCAGCTGTCTCAGAGAGGTCCCCTCTCAACAATTTGTGCACCCCTAGCCCAACTTGCTGGTGAGGTGGTTAGAGTGGAAAAGGCCTTGATTCTCTGCAGGCACTGCTCAACTGAAACACCTCTGTTATCAAAACTGGTTTCAGCCCAAGTCCAAAACAGCCCCATACCAGCTACTATGGAGAAAATTAACTACTCCAGCCCAAGCCAGCACACCACGCTATATGGTTAACTAAATTTGTACTGTGGCAAGAGCATGAGCAGAATGTAAACACTTGCAGCATCCCAAATTATTTCTATTTGCTATTCTAGCATGTTCCTTAACAAGCAGAGAGTTAAGTAGGTAGTCTAAAAATGCCCACTAATCTTAGATGGAATTGTGAACATTTTTTTTACCTCGGTTCTAAGGAAGGCTGATCATAGTTTTTATGATTTTGTTTTTCTGTTGTTGTGAATATTTATTAATAAATTTGAAAGTGCAAAACTTAATGATAGAGAATCACAAGCCTGTAGAACTTGAGTATGGGGATGGCATACTTAATTGAGATTGCTGTGTTTCACATGGAGTRTTCTTCTTTTTAAGGTGTCTAAGAAAGTTGCAGATTTAATCCTCGAAAAACAACCTGCATATGTTGAGGTAAGACAATGAACAGTTACTTTTTAAGAAGAAACTGCTCAATTTTGTGSTGTTATACTARCAGTCAGGGTTGACTGGTAGTTCAYCATTCTTGCTCTTGTGATCCTCYAGCTCAGRCACCCTTGGTCTGTCATCCATGTTGAAGATGAAAAAAAATAGAGTCTCAACATGTCAAAGATCTCCAAGAGCAAAACAAAGCAAAACTGCAGCAGAGTTTTGGCATCTTCTTTCTCCCAAAGTGTATTTGCAACAGTTGTCATAATKGTTCTTAAGGGAAGGTGTTTTCTTTCCTACTCATTTATTCTTAGTACTGTAACATTTGATCAGTGYTTTCTGGTTTTATCTGATCATTACACAAAATGACATGGAGAATTTTGCAAAGTGAAAATGATGATTGTTATTAAGTTAGTCTGAGAATGATCATGTGGTGAATACATCTGTTTGTGTACAGCACCTTACATCACCATTGTTATACTGGTGATTAGGCAATTCTCATTTTGGGCAAGAAGCTGGAGAGAGTGTGGAAGAACAAAGATTGCTTCCTGCGTATTAACCTCTGGTAGATGTCATGGAGCTGCAATTATTTACCTCTTTCATCCAGAGGACACAACATCCTCTTCTGTTTGCTTGTTCTTATGGCCAGTGCATCCAGCCTTAGTGAGGTTGCCATCTGTGCTCTGGCCCATTGCCTGCTGAAAGGAGTGCTGCTGTTTAAAGAAAAATGGAGAGGGRAGAAGTGACCRCTGCTTGCATCATCATCTCCTGTAACAGCAGGTGCTAAAATAAGGCTGTAACAGTTTTAGTTGAAGGAATCAGGTGGGAGGCTATTGCAGAAGGAGGCTGGTAAGTGCTTCTGTGGTTAAATCTTCCCAAAATAGCATAGGAGAGGGAAAAAGGGTAATTGTATGGTATAAAAATCTTCATGTTGTGCAGGTTTGAAATTKATGTTTTTGAGTGAGTGCTGCTTTGTCTTAATCCAGCATCTTCACTGTGAAGACCTCTCCCTGCATGATRGTACAGCAGCAAATGTTCTTGCATTTTTCTTTGTAATGTTTATGTTCCTATTGCAGCAATATCTTAGTGAGACATACCTGTTTATACCTAGAAGTGCTTTCAGATGTTCCAAAGGGGCAGTTAAAAATCCATTGTGCCAGTTAAAGTCTTTTAAAAAACTTATCTAAAATGCATTTGTGCCTAATTAAGTCACTAATCCTGCAGTGTTASTTATGGGTACAGGCCTGCACAGAGTTATTCTTGTCAGTAGACTTACTGGACATTTCTGKTGAGCGTTGTAGGACTCACTTTTCMACTGGTTCATGAAATGATAYTTGYRATGTGCTGTGTGAACTTGTAATGGCAGCTCCAGTTCAGTGTTCAATTACAGTAACAGAGCATTAGAAGAATCAAAAATGCAGTTGAACACATCTCCTGGACACATTTTCACTGTTCAAAATGTAGTTTAGGGATATCATGGTTTGAACCCCATGCCTGGTATGAAGTACTGGTCTAACAGGGACTCCTGATGGCGGAAGAGGCATGGCACAGACACAGAGTGAGGGATTTATAATTTTCTTTTTCTCGAAGAAAGGCATGCTTTAAGAATAACCAGTGGGTAGAAGATTGTTTTTGAGARCAGAAAAATTGTATTCAGCCCTACATGATGGGCAGAAGACTCCCTCTTTGGGGATCTTTAGACTGCACTCTCTCCCCACTCCTCTCCATCCAATCCTATTCAAAGGGCGATTTTACAGAATCTTTGCAAGAGGCAAATAGGGGTGGAGTTGCTYCTTTTTACGAGTGGTCTCATGTACAAGGGAACAACGACTTATTAAATAGCTCTGATACTTGCAAAGTATGTTTTTAGAGAGAAGCAGGCATTGAGGACAGTAATCTTTTAATTTGGTTTCTTAAGATATTTTGCATATCAGCAATTAAGCTGTCATTTTTACAAAACCAACATTGGTAACATAAAGGAGCAGGTTTTGGTGGAAGATGCAGCTTAGTAAGGGAGCTGATCTGAAACCGGGAGCTGATCTGAAACCAAACTGAACTTTGAACTTGTTTTTGCTTGTCATATCTTTAGAATTAGATTAGTTTTCAAAGTCTCCCTTCTTATGGAAAGCACTTGATACATTTTGAAACTGCRAGCAGAATTAAAAAAAAAGAATCCCTTTTTCTATAGCCTAGGGAAAGAACGCACTTTTCTGCAGTGATGTTCCTAACAAAAATCCTAATAATCCTAATTTTCCTAACAGAAATACTAATAGTTACATTAAAACATTTTTTTTTTCAAGGCATTGAGATTATGCTAGGCACCACTAAGTCAAAATCAAGCTAAATTCAGGTCACCTCTGCTGAAGAGTTTTCAGCGGAAAGTCAACAGGATACAATTAACATTCATTATGATGTGACATCTATTAAATTGGTAGAACACAAGTGCTTCTAAACAAGAAAATGCTGTGTGAAACRTAWTTTTTTTTKKTTTGTTTTGCTGCTCTCTGGCATRCGAATGCAAATTAAGCCCTGTGCTTCTATCCCTGAAGCTCTGATCATTCTGTTGTAATGTATTAATGGTATAGAAATTCTTAGGCTAAATGTACAAAAATAAATGTAGCTGGTCCCACTGCAGTGGGATGGATTTCAAATATCTATCTTCAAAAGAGAATTGTATTTTAAAATATARTTTATSTTAATGTTACATTGCAGTGCTTMGTGTATWTAAAATGATGAAACAAATAGTACATAAAGTAACTCTACAAAGTCATTGTAACATCTCAAGAGAAATCTACTAATCAGTAGTGTGCACCTGTGTGTAGCATGGCTTTAACTTGTATATTTCTTCAACCTGTTGTCTCTCTGTAGGAACTTGAGCGTGTTACATCATTGCAGACTGGCCTTCAGTTAGCAGCAGTTATTTGCACAGATGGAAGAAGGTATATTGCTTAAGCGACTGCAGAGATTGAAAGTGGGGAGATATTTAAGAAGAAATCTGTAAACCCAGGAAGGTTGCTTGCTGATRATAAATCCTGTTTATGTGCTGAATGCTATTCGCAGTAGCAGTTAGAGATAGTGAAACAATTACAAATTTGTGCATCTCTCACTTTTGCACCTGGGAGTTCTTTTTGAAACAGAAAGCTTTTGAGATACACCATTGATCCACAGACAAGTGCAGAARGGATGATGTACCTTCTTAGTAGTCTGTTGGTATAATCTCATTTTCTAAGTTTCTCCAACAATGTTGGCAACCTTATTTTCTACCATGTATTTTGTTGGACTTAGTTAGAATTGATTAGAAGTAAGTTTTGTTTTATGAATTGTTGAAGATTATGTTAATTTTTAACTTTTGCAGACACCTGAATATAGCAAAGGAAGGCTTCACGCAAACTAGTTTGGGGCTACTTGCAAATCAGAGGAAACGACAGTTGCTTATTGGACTGCTAAAGTCYCTGAGAACAATAAAAACACTGGTATGCAAGTTGTTTTTGTTCAGTGAGGAATACTTTTCTTTATTTCTGTGTAATAATGGCTGATTTTTTTTTTGTTTTGTTTTATTTTTTTAGCAAAGAACTGATGTACGTTTGAGTGAGATGTTGGAGGTAAGTCCCTACCACACTGGTATAATTTGAAGCTATTCTAAGTCTACTTTGGTCATTCACCTTAATTTTGTCCCTTCCTTTCCTCTTGCAAACAGGATGTATGTATGGGATGAGATTATATTTTTCTTTTAAATTGAGAAAAATTCATATCAAATTAGATAGCATCTATAGCAGGGAAGAGTATTTTCTATCAAAAACTCATTCCTGCCTTTAGATCTGGGCACTAGAAGCTTGAGTTAGTTCAGTAAAAATGCTGTAGAGTCTTCACTTATCTCTGCTCTCAACTGATACCTCTTTTCTTTAGCTTGGTATTTGGGAGAAAAAATGGTGAGATTTAGCTGATTGTTGATATGCTGAGTTTGGATTACTGCACAAATTTATGGATGGGCTCCCTGCTTTATATTTTATTTGTAAAATGTAGTAGCTTTTTCTCCTCATTCATTGGGTTGGCATTTTAATTGTAGAAAACCTTGCAGCGTGCAGACTATGACACTGAAAGTTCTACTACTGTTATGTATACTGCCTAAAAATGCAGTAGATACTGCACAGAGMAAAATAAGATCTTTCTTAAGGTGATTAATTATATGAAAGACAGCCTCAGGATTTTATTGACAGTTATATTACATGTAGTGTAGCAATTTTGACTTGCTTGTTTGCCAAATATTTATGGCTAATACTGGATGGAATGTCATGATGACAATCCCTGGTTATTAAATTTGGAAATTGAATCTGAATAGTTTTAACTTTTAAGATTCTGTGAATTTAATTCCTTCTTGAGTAAGTCACCTTGTGTCAGCAAACTTCCTTATTTCTTACTAAGCAAAACTGCACTCATTTTCAGGTGGCATAAATGCTGCTTTCTGCTCAGTAAGCCCCATCTAACAATTAGCTTTTAATTTCTGTGCTGTGCTTCACAGGAAATTAACTCTTTACTGTCTGCTTGGCAGGASTTATCCTGAGGAGGTGTGGGTGTTKCATTCACACACAGACACTAATRTCTAATTGGTCAGTGATTTKTAAGGSCTGGAGCTGGTGTTTTTGGCTGAGTGCATTTTTAGAGCTATGCTCAGTGTCTKCTCCCAATAAGTTATCCCAGATACTGGCCCATTTATTTTCTGTACTCCAAGAAGTTAGGTTGGAATATGCCTGAGAGCTATTAGTAGCCACTCGCAGAAGAGCATTTTGAAGGGGTTCCCAATTAAAAAAAGGCCAGGAATGAAGCTAGAATAGCTTACAGGGCTGAGCTGCATCTGGAATATACAAGTAACATACCTTATGCAAGCAGGCTTTCTGATCTGAGATCTGTTAGACTTAATGGAGCAAGTATGAGGTCTCCACTGGAGAAAGATCCAAAGAGCTGTAAATACAGCAGTCATTTTGGACCAGTGTACTGTTCTGTTTTCATCTAATGGATAATGTATTTGGGTTTTTTTTTTTTTTTTGTCTTTTTTAGCTAAATTTGATCTGCATTAGAACATTGCTGTTAAAACCAATTTCATTTCAGAAACTCCTCTATGATAATAGCTGAATATAAATTACCCTTGCGTTTTTACTCCTCAGTCAATGACTGAAATTCTACTTCCAGCTTTGCWTTTGAGCTCTCTGAAGCATGTAAAATAACAGATGTAATTATGACAAAAAACGGAAGCTCTTAGCAATTAAAGAGGGTTTTCCTGCCTCCAAGATACTTTCTGATCTCATGTCTAATAGAATACAAAAATAATAGATATATCCGAGGCAATGCCCATGTTTTGTTGGTAAGATTTTGTTGGGTTTTACTTGGGTTTTTTGTATGTTTTTGTTTTGTCCTGGCATCCTTGTATACTTTCTGATGGAGCTGTGTACCTATTGGATATTCTTCTTATGTTAGGACAATGCATCCATAGTATGTTCTTGGTTTCCTGAGGCCTTCTGTGAGCCAGTTATATATAAGTTAATGTCTAATAAGCTGTAGAATGTGTCAATAGTGTTATATAGTGTTTATTTGGGCCTAACKTTGGGAGTGTCTTCCTTGTCTCCTTTTAGGTTTTATTAACTATAGCAACAGCCTGCCAGTGCCTGAACTAACCTCTTTCCATGCTCATGAATAGAACTGGGAAGATGTTAGCTGTTCTGTAATGAAAACTTTGTGATGTATTTTTTATGTATGCATAAGGAAACAATCAGGCAAGTTGTTTGTATAAGGTAATGTAATACATAGTGTTTTCAGATGTTGCTAACATCTATTTCTAATTCTAAACTACTTATACATTAAGTGCTACAGTAGACCCTCACTCTTTACTGTATAGACAGAAGAGGCAAAATATTTTATTCTTAATGTTTATACACAAGCATGCAAGCAAAAATAGGTGTTGCGCTGTTACTTCAATGAGCTTTCAATTGTATTTTATCCTAAGGAAGAGGATTATCCAGGAGCTATTCAGCTGTGCTTGGAATGCCAGAAAGCTGCCAGCACTTTCAAACACTACAGTTGTATAAGGTAGGGTGATGTTGTGCAGATTTCAGCTTCTGTATGATTTTATTTATAAATGGTATAGAATAGTTCATTATTAATAGATCATAGTTCATCTATTAATAGATCATTAATTCTCATTCTCTAAAGGAAGTTTTATTGAAAAGTAAYTTTCAGCTTAGAAAAGCAAAATTGAGGCAGTTATAAAAGCCTAAGTGTCCTTTGTAGTTTCCCACCTCCCTCTACCACTACTAATCAATCTTCGTAATCATAACAGTATATAATCAATGTTTGGACTATATAATTGTTTTGTAACTGTTGTAATATGTTGGCAGGTAAACTTAGACTGAATTAAAACTGTGCTACAACCTCCAGCCTAGAGATGCCTGAGTTGAGTTTTTAATAAGAAGATTTTATTCTGGAATTAATTTGCCTATAGCAAGATGGCTTCTGGAGGATAATTTACCCTGAAGTCTTGGCAACGAAATTAGCAAGTGC